TACCCCGTAACCCACGACCCCGCGCTGACCCCTGATCCTCCACCGTCAGCGCGCGTCACCACCTACACAGCCAATCATCACACACTGTGCATACGATCCTTAATCCCAGCGCGTATCACCTCTACATCAACCCCCTCCCACATAGCTTGCAGCCGGCCCGGCTGTTAACCTACAACACAACATAACGCAACGCAGTAATAAAGAACTCCACATCCCAGTGTGCCCCGTAACACAACAACAACAACATAACACAACCTAAATACGAAGCATATACAGCCCGACGAACAACACAATAAAAGCGAACACCGTAAAACGAACGCGCCAAGTGTCACCGTGACCCACGCAGTGCCGAGGCGCTCCGGCTGCCTCGACTCCGCACGTGGTAGATTACACAAAGTAGCGCGACCTAGCGCGAGTCCGTCTGGCCGGTCCGTCGTATGGAACGGGACGTTGGCGACCGTCCGGTGTCTCCGGCAGCTCTAGACGGCACGGATCGGGCCTGGAAGGACCGGCCCCGCCGTGGAGATCCGGCCGCCGGTGGTCGGCAGCAGTCAGTTCCGAGGACACCTAGGAGCGGGTCAGGCGGAGACATGTGAGGAGCAGGCAAGGACAATTCCCCCTCAGGGTCGTCGGTCACGTCACATGCTCGGCCCTCACGACACAAGGGGAGGCCATACGGAGGCGGAGAACGGTTTCAGTCGGGAGGGGTGGACGTACCAACGGCGTTTCCCCCATTTTATCTGAACGCACTGGGGCGCGCAACCCGCACGACCTCCACGGGTCCCCGCCACGGCTTCAACAATTTAGGCGACGTGGCCAAAGGTGCCTGAGGGCAATGCAGCCAGGCCTTGTCACCTGGTTCCCAATTGTGCACGGATACCTTCCGTGCCCGCAACCGCTCGTTCGCAATTTGGCGAGCCCGCGAATTAAGCCGTGCGGCCTCCCTTGCCTCTGTCAGTTTATGAATATTAAATTTAATATGCTCTGCCAATTTAGAATTAGTTCGTGGTGCGGGCAGACCCAGCTGCGTTTCCATGGGCGGGTCGGCTTCCCGGCCGTACATTAGAAAAAACGGGGAAAACCCCGTAGCTGCATGGGGGGCCATTCTATACGCGGCAAGGACCCCAGGGACCTGCAGGTCCCAATCAACATGCGACTCACACACCTGCTGGCACAGCATAGAGGTCAATGTCCTGTTAAGCCTCTCCACCATCCCGTCTGTCTGCGGGTGGTACGGGGAGGTACGCACCTTTTGGTACCCAACAGGTCGCACACCTCCTGCAGTAATTTACTCGAAAAATTTTTCCCTTGGTCAGTCAGCAAGCGTTCGGGAGCCCCCTTGTCCAGGACGTAGCCCTGGACAAAGGCGTCCGTCACAGCCGCCGCCGACTGGTTGGCGAGTGGCCACGCCATAGGCCACCGGGTAAAATATTCGACCCCCACCAACAGGTACTTATTACCCCTAGGCGTGACCGGAAAGGGCCCCAGAATATCGAGTGCAACGAGCTCG